TAAATCGACACACCACGAATAAACGAGAAGACACACACGCAGGACATCCAGATCGTTTAAAAAATTCATGCGGATAACTCGAATTCAATTGATCGGGCCCGTGCGAACACTCGAACGAATTTATTATACGAATGATCGTCGACGAGATTTTTTCTCACTCGTCGGTTATTATAGTTCAACGATTTCGAGGTGGCGACGACGATGGTAAAAAGGTATAAAACGAAAAGTAAGGGCAAAAAAGAAAATGGAAAATTTACCGATAATAAATAATAAGGCGTCTATTTGAAAAATTATTTGGATAATCTGTGATACTCAGATTGACGATTATTATTCGATTATTTGTCGGGTCAAACGGTGTTTCACGCGTTTTTAAACGTCAATGGACAACTAACACTTGAACATCGAGGTATTTAATAGATAAGATATCGATAAACGAAAATTGTTCGAGTAACAAGCTGCTCCGAACTGAGCCGAGGTCTGTCGATCTCTACTTTATCGAATTTCATCGTTCGAATTTTCCAACATCGTTATTGTTAACGAAATTTGTTGTTATTCTCCGAATTTAACTAACGTTGTCTGAATCACAAAAAGTACGATTTTCTTCGTTTTATCTTGTACTTTTTAAATCCTCGATTAACTCCTCTGCATACAGGGTGGATCATAAAGTGTACCGTAACTTCGAAATTGAGTTCAACGTGAAGAGAACAATATTACTGAAAGTCATCAGCATTTACTGCCTTCGTGATTAAAAGAGAAAAAGAGTTGGCTCGTGTTTCATTCACTTTCGAAATTTCCATCGGAATTTATGAAACAGCCTGTAGAATTCACTTCATTACTTCAACTCGATACAACGTTTGAACGAAAATTTTAGCAAAAATATTCGAAATAGAGAGCAAGATAAAATTAGACATATCTTTCATTTTCAAAATTTTCAATATTCTCGAAAAAAAAAAAAAATGGGGGAGAAAATCGATCGTATCGAGGCTCGAGCTCAGTTTACGGAAGCTGGCCTACTCGTCACGCTATATATTAATGTATATCAATACTCCTCGAAGTGGATTTACATGAGACGAGCGAACGTCTGAAACGACGTATGAAATGATCAATGATTTCGGTTAAAATCGATCAAACGTACATACACTCGGAAGCGTTGAGACGAAATACGTATATCTTGGCCAGCACGACTCGTATCGAAACTCGGATCGTGCTCCGCGAGTGTGGCCGACGCGCTCGGACAATTGTTTTTTATAATGCAAAAAAAAAGAAAAAAAAGAAGTGAAGTAATCCACGCTCGTGCATCATCCGGCGAGCGTGGCGCGAGAGTGCCGCGAATTATTCGAAAAATTCAAGAGACAGAGGCGATCTCGTTTGTTTCTCGTGGGGAAACGAGGGCACGCGGATTTCTTTCCACTCGGTTTTTTACGATATTCGCACGGACCTGGAGACCGAAGATCCACGAAATCGGCCACAACCATGAATCGATCGCTTTGAATTGGAATAATCGAGATGTTTCTTAACCCTTTCCCTGCTGTTGGCGCCTATAGGCGTTTCGAATATTTTCTCGCGCTGCGATCTTGCCGCCTATAGGCGTTTCCAATATTTTCTCGCGCTGCGATCTTGGCGCCTATAGGCGTTTCGAATATATTCTCGCGCTGCGATCTTGGCGCCTATAGGCGTTTCCAATATTTTCTCGCGCTGCGACCTTGGCGCCTATAAGCGTTTCGAATATTTGCTCGCGCTGCGATCTTAGCGCCTATAGGCGTTTCGAATATTTCCTCGCGCTGGCGCCTTTTGGCATAAAAAAGTGCCTTTCCTTTCACCTTAATTTAATTTTTCATTTTTATCCCTTGTGTACTTCCACCTCAGTTCAGCGAAAGAAATTTAAAGACGATAAATTTATAATTTTAACGTTAAAATTTTAAAACGCCGAAACGAAGGATTAGGTCGTCGTCTACCACGCACGTTGCATACTAAAATCCTCCGCAGCGAAAGGGTTAAATAGAATAAAAGGGGAATTATTGTGATAACACGTTGAATGATCGAAAAATATTTCTTTCCGTAAGCTACAAATTCACACATGTCACACATGTTACTTTACTTTATTTCGAAATTTTCTAAGGTTTCTGAATTTCTATGGTGGAATTATTCAACGTGTTAAAGAATATCTTTCGATGTATAAATAAAATAGAGTGTCTTCTACGTTGAAACGAGGGACTTTCTTTCAGCGAGAACATTCAAGGAAGCCGATATCGCGGATATCGTTGTAATTCCACGTAACACCCACGAGATAATCATGTTACTAAGACTCTGCGTTTTTTAATATCAGCGAGACTCGGCCCGTACCACGGGCGGACAAAAGTGTTTTCAATAAACTGTTACATTACCTGAAGCTTCCTTCGTTTCTTTCGTTCCTTCTATTTGCACGCGTGATTCTATTCTAGGACTAAGGGGAGACAATGGTAGCGAAAAAGAAACGAGTAAGGCAAGAAGAGGAATTGGGGTAGAAAAGAATAGCGCTAGAGAAATCAG